CATTCGCCAAGGTACAGGATAGTTCTAGAAAATAGGTGGTGCCACACTAGTCACGTGACCTCGATGACGCAACATTATCTTAATACAAAAAAGCTTAAAAATGTCTAAGTTGCCTTAGAATGGGACTATGTTGCTTATATGATGTACTTCACAGCATTAATTATTCATCTAAAAAATACTAAATATATGACAAAGTAGCAATATTACTAGTAGGTACAGGTTAATGTAGATTACATACACTTAACTGTTAAGATAAAGTTTACAATTTTATATAAATAATCATATGGAGCCTACATAAATCAGTGGAAGTGAACAGAATGTACAAAATTACATTTAGGCAATCAAATATGTGGAAACTAGGTTCATCTTCTCTATACAAAAGGACAGTAAACGTAACACCACACACCACTTATACTTGTTAAAGGCAGAGGAAAATAAGATTATTATAGGTATAAAATTGGTCATTATACCATACACAACAATATTCTAGTACAAAGTAAACAAAAGATTTATTATTTTGAAAGAGAAAAATGCCAATTGCACATGTGTAATTCTCTATCTTTATTACACGTTTATTTAGCATTGCACATCACACACAAAATGTTTATGGTAACATTACCAGGAAAAGTTAAGGCAGGTGGTTATGATATTTTTCTTTTTTTTGTATTAAACATTATTACCCTGTACTGTAGTGATTGTTAAAATAAGGGAATATTTTTCATGCATTTTATCAATGCAAGAATTTAGTTATATTCAGTTTTATTTTAGGTTCACACCTTTTCTATTAGAAAATGTGCATATTTACTTCTCGTGAGGCCTATAGAATATAGTATTATAGGCTGAAGTCCTTGTTTCAAATTTACATTTGCCCAACTTTCAATTTAAATACACAAGGGAAATAATAATTATAATTCATTGATTAGCACCATGCCAAATCACCTTCTAATAACCTTTAAATGCTTTTTATAGAAGTATTATTCATTAGTATATACCATACGTAATATAACATCAATTACGTTTTTAAAACAAACTAGTAAAATTAAAATTAATAATATTAAAATTGTAATGTAATTTGTAGGCAATTAAACTTCCAAACTCTTAAGTTATAGTGCAATAAAACTACTTTTTGTATGTAAATTTATATGCTTTGGATATTACCTAAAAGTTCAAATAAAAGCTAATTTTCCAAACTTTCCATCAGCAACAAACTTTAATAAGTTAATACTATTTCAAAACCAGATAGCACCCAATTTTTCAAACTTTCAATATACAACATGTTATTTACATCTACACAACACCATATGCATTTTAAGTTTCTTTTCAAAACCTCACAACTGAATTCTTTCATAGAGTAAAGGAATAACTATATGCTCTTGCACAGAAAGTATTTGGCTAGTTGCAAGATTTTTCAAATTAACATAAAAACACTCCCTCGTTCTTTATAACAGGCCAAAGGATGGATCCAACACGAGTACTTAAGTACAGAACATACATTCCACAGAAATTTTGTCACCCCAACAAATAATTGAGATATTTGACATTGTACAGAGATCTGATAGTGTCAATGCATTATTTTTGTCATACTTAATGGTGAGAATCGTAAGACAAGGGAACCTATACATAAACTTTGTCAGGGTAGTAGTCATCTTCTGATAAGAGTTTTAATTTTCTAACAGGGTGGTTGGCCTTTAACATAGGTTGTTTTCATACATCATTGATGTAATTAATTTAAGGAAAATTTTGAATGATAACTATTTAAGTAGCACTGGCATTGAGTACTTTTTTTTGTAAACTTTAGTAGATGAGACAGCCTCAATGTATAGGTCCCTTGTTGTCTTTAAATACTATGTTACAGCCAAGTTGTACATTGCTAAAAATGTGGATCCGAAAGATGAACTTATCTTTATAGATACAACCGCACTAGATGGAAACTATCTTCTGATGTTTTCTTCTTTCATGTGAATATAAACAATTTTATACTTTAAAATCCTCATTTCAATATTTCACATTCTCCGACATTTAAAAATTAATTTCCCTGACCAACTAATATTTTCTTCGGGACGGCTTGAATGGGTAATGAAGAAAAACTTTAATACAAGTTTAACATAACAGCAAGTGTACAACGTTTTGACATCATCAGGTCAAAACCTTGGCGAAACATCCAAGCAATATTAGTCTCAAAGTGGGTTCCTTGTCCGAATTTAATATTTTCATTTTCCAGTTTCATGGAAAATCTGGATCTTGGGATACTGGTTAATACAATTCTTGAATCTTATAAGCAGTGTTCAATTGTAAGTAGTAAAGCTAACAGAATTTTGGGTCATATAAATAGAAATATTGACTACAAGTCTAAAAAGGCCATGTTTTCAATGTATAAGTCACAAGATACTCCTCATTTGCAGTAATGTATGCAGTTTTGGTCCCTCTTGCCTCAGGAAGGATGTTTAGTTATTAAGTTCTGGAGAAGGTTAAGAGGATGGCTACTAGAATGATTCTGGAAATGGATGGCTTAAAAATTAAGGATAGTTGGAGCTCCCTTAACATATTCTCTCTTTAAAAAAGAAGAGTTTGGATGATCTAACTGAAGCATTCAAAATTAATGAAGTTAATGCATCAGGTTTTTAGATGTTTAATTCTGAGGATAAATTGTACAAGAGGTCATAAGTTTAATATTTGGAAAAGTCAAGACATGTTACCAGTTGAGGATGTTTTATTTTTCCAATAGAGTGATAAGCCTATGGAACAAGATTCTGTCTAGATTGATCAATGTTGCCTTTATTACAAGAGTTTTAAGAAAATGGATGAATCACATTTTTGATTCTTATCATCCTTATCCCTCAGCTTAATCACCCTCATACAATCATCACTGACTATAATATATGGAAAACATGAATGGGTGGTAGAATAAAAAAGTAGGAAATGCAAATTCTAATATTAGAGCTAACTGTTTTCAGTTTTACTAACCTTGATAGAAATTTGTCCTTTGAGAAAATTGTTTTTCAATTAATAGTTATAAGCTTTTAACAGTTTTTACTAAGCTAAGTGGAAGTAATGGGCTATATTTAAACTGAGTATGTTACTGTTGTAGGTGCTTATCTCAATAGACCAAATGGTTTTTCTATCACCTTGCTTTTACCTTATGTTAATGCAATACCAGAAGTTCAAAACTGTTTTATACAGCAATTCAATTGAATTAGGATTGCTTCCTTAGCTCTAGACAATCTACTTTTGTGCTCCACAGCAAAATTAGTTTTTCTCATTTTCCCTCACAAAAAGCATCCTTAACTTACAAAATATCCATTCTCCTCTCCTAATTTTAACTTACTCCAATATTTGTTGCTTTCACAATCTAATTCAGTAGTTTCCCACAAAGCAAGCTCAATTTTTGACTCCACAAATCAATTAATATTAACTTCTGAACAACGTGAGCTACCTACATAAATCAGAATTTAAAATATATATCCTTAGTAATGACTATAGCTAATTAAATATAATTTTCAAACTATATTACTTACAAGGCTTAGAATATATTGTTTCATCAGTTGGGTTCCCTACTGTTAATGATATTTCAGTCAAGTCATTCTAAACCTCTTGCAAACTATAAACAACTATTTTCAAAAATAAACTACTCTTTGTTTATACTTTTTTGTCCTAGTTTATCTAGGTACATGACTTTAGACCTTCAATACTGAAAGTGAAACATTCCCTCTACAATGCACTGTCCTCTTTCAATTATGAGCAACAAACTTATTGTTGTTGGTAAGCTCAATAAAATTATAAATATTTATATATCTTTAACTTTAAGGTACTGTGTTCATTCTTAATGATTTACCTGTATACTATATTCACCTCTTCAGTCTTCTAATTCTAGTCTACTGTTCTAGTTTTTTACTTCCACCTTAATGTATTTTTCACTGCTGGACATATGCAGCATTCTATAAAGTATAAAGCAAGAATGATACATTAATAATAATCATTACTATCAGGACAGTGAGAATAAAGCTGGATCACGGAGAAAGCATATAAAACAAAATACGAAACAACTGCGTAAGCCTAAGTTATTAAAAACAGTGTTCAGGGACACTATCGCCGACTGCGTCCACTGAGTAAACTCTTGGCTCGCACTTAGTTACTAACTTTGTTAACACAAATTGTTCGTCTTGTATCATATAAAACAATAAATATTCAACAACCGCTACTTACAGAATTAATTACGTAAATTATTCTTTCGGCGATGCTTATCAGAAACCGTCTTTATTGCACAATTAAGTAGTGCATAACCATATTCCTATATGCTACTAAAATAAATGCATACATTTCATTCAACACCTAAGACACACATACAATGATACATGTCTTCTGACAATGCATTGTCCATGTGCTTATAGTAGAAGGTTATGACGCCTATTTTCTATTGGATCAAAAACTTAATTCCCTTCTAGATTATATCAAAACCACATGATCACAAAAAAATTCTAATATAATAAATAAATAATATGTTATCAATATGAAATCTAAATAGGCTACAAAACTTACTTACATTTTATTTTATTATTCTCTAAAGTGCGGTACTAGTGTTTATATATGGCGTTTTTATGAACCACAGTGAAAATCTAGCTAACTAGTGTTTATCATTAGTTTAGTTGTTCAGGGGTTGAAACGCAATTTCAGTTATGTTTCTTAAATTGCACGGTAAAGAAAAGATAGAACGTACATTTTTGAATTTCATGATAGTTTCAAACTTTGTTTGTGGCTGTGTAATAGCTTTAAGTAATGATAAATTTTTAGAAGAACTGGAAATTCAACCATTACCAAGTGGGCATGTTTATACATACATGCAATTCACAACAGTGTGGGATGTAGACAAAAGGCCCGGTAGGTTATAACTCGTTTGAGTTTAACTTGTACTGACGGTGGATGGAGAGTTAATTATATGACAGCGATAGGTTATCACTATCTTATCCATACAAATACTCAAAATATTTATCTAGTCTTCCCATAAACTGAATAATAAATTTTAGTTTAATTTTTACTGCATCCACCATATCTGAAAGTGAAAGCGACTCATTCTAAATTCTAATAGCCAGGCACCCTCTTACTTAGTCTTACTCTTATTAGTCTTAGAAAAGTATAACTGTCTTAGCTACCATGCCAAATTTATATTTGCCCACCATCTCATCATTAAATGTCCGAAAAGATGATACATCAACATTATCATTGTATCAATTACCTTAACAATCTTAAATACCTCAGTCAAGTCCCATATAACTCTTCAAGAGAATTAGAAAACAGTTTCAGAGATCTTAAACTGCTTTCGTATAACAACCTTTTCATCTCAGATGTCATCCTACCAGCACTGCCTTGAACCCTTTACAACAATTTAATGTCCTTCTTAAGGTAAGGAGCCCAAGACTGAACACAATACTCGAAATGAAGAATAACCAGTGAAATTTAATTTTTCTGTAAAACCTAAAACCTTATTTGCCCTATCACTAGCTTATATCACTGTCTGGCTGTCAAACTTAGACCTGTCCATCAGACACTAGTATATAATAACATATTTGAAAATTAGTTATTTGAAGAGTTGCTGATGTTAGTTTTATTTTTAGAGGGGATGATAAGAGTTGTTCTGGAAATTAGAGCTGGGCACATAATCAGTATAATTGATTACTTATGAGCATCTATAAGTGTTGTATAATAAAGATTATGATTAAATCTATTCCTGTTATGATATCAATCAACTGACCAATATGAGCCTTTCTTATTATTATTATTACTGTTTTTGATTATTCCAGTTATCCAAGACTCATGTCAGAATAATTTATTAGTTAAATGAAATAAATTAATGAGTTAGATGATTAATCAATTAGTAAATTCCACTGGAAATTATAGCTTAGTCATTCTTACAAAATCATGTTTTGAAATATGTACATAAATGAAAACCGATAGATTCACCATAGCAAAATTTTGCTTTAGTAAACTGTTGTCATTTTCCAAGGATGATATTTGATGTTCCTTAAATGTTATATGGATGATGGAAAGGAATGTAAAGTTGATGAACATAGATTTTAAAAAAATCTTTTGATATAGTGCCATATAAGAGAGCTAAGAAAACCACATCATTAGGGGTTGAAGACAGTCTAGTTAATTGAACTGTGGGATGGATAGACAGGCAAAAGCATAAAGTTGTTATTAATGGAGTCCAGTTATACTGGACCCTTATTGCTTTGAGAGTGCGAAAAAGGTGAAAACTTGGGTTTTCACGTTTTCATATTTACATTAATTGTATTGATAGGAGTATAATTAATAGATTGGTAAAGTTTGCTGATGACTGTAAACTCTTGGGTATTTCTGGCTATATCGAGTACAGATTGACTTAGATCATTTGGAGAACTATTTGGCAAGTAATCTCTAATTGAGTCAAATTGACACATTTGAATCACACATTTAAAATAGATGGAAACCCACTCAATAGAATGACTGTAGAAAAGGATTTTGGCATAGTTTTGGATAAGTCACTTCAGTTGTTAAAGCAGTTATTCTGACAAGAGTCTTCAATAATTGGAATAATCAGAAATGCTGATATTTATTAGTTGATTACTTTCATAAAAGGAATCACTTTAATTGTAATGTTGATAATTTGGTCAGCTCTAATTTCTAGAACAACTCCCCTTTAAAAATAAAAGTAATATTAGCAACTAATCCACTAATTAACTTTAAAATATGTTAATTATTATATACTACAGTGTCTAATGGGTAGGCCTAAGCTTGACAGCCATACAATGATACAAGCTAGTGATAGGGCAAACAGAATTTTAGGTACTATTTAGAGAAATATTGAATATAAGTCTAAAGATTAAAATTTCATTTTATAGGGCTCTGGTTTGGTCTCATTTGGAGTGATGTTACAGAAATATTAAATCTGAGGCAAAGAGACTATAATTCAGAAATGCTACTCATCTCTCTACACCACAAAGAGCTGTTACCTCAAATGCACTACAGTGTAATTTTCCTGCACATACCGCAAGCCTTGGACAAAGCTCCTACCCCTACAGATGTCCACGTGTATTGCATCACCTTGTGATGTAATTATTATTAGACTATCCCTTGGAGGGTGATATATTTTTCATGTTCTTTTATTCTTGTTCTTTCAAATTTTGTGGGATTGATATTTAGTCTATTACCCGAGTTAGATTGTCTTAGGGTCCTTCTGGGTTATATTTTGAGCACCCTCATCTATTGAACTACCTTATATATATATAAAGAAATTAGACTTTTAAGAGAAGAATCACCTTTAAAAGCTACGGTAGTAATTTATTTACTTGGTGACGTTTTGAGCATATGCTTCTTTTTTTTTTTTTGAAGCCAGAAACTAATTCGAAAAGCTCTGTCCTCTGCCTGCCTTAGCTTCTGATTCTGAATAGGTACCTCCACACTCTTCATTTTGTGAAGGATTTTTTATTTTAAATTTTTTTTAAATATCGATATTTGCTTAAATTTAATTTCTATTTAGAAATATTTATTATATTACATATTACAATTGGCCTGAAATCGAGCTAAATGATAATTTCAATTTGATAGTTAAATATTTGCAGATATATCTCTGATTTATGATATTTGCCAACAAGATTGATACACACAGTTTTATTTTATTAATAA